ACAAGAAAGGAGTATTTTAAAAGAGCAAGAGCTTTGTTTAATTTTTGAAATTAAAAAATTAAAAGTCATATAATGCCCATCTGCGACAGGCTCAAATGTCGAAGGCTCACGTATCGGGAGGCTTAAATATCGGGGGCTGAAATGTCAAGAGCTCAAGTGTCGGTAGGCTCATCTGTCGAGGCTCATTTGTCGGGGCTCAAACGTCAGAGGCTCATCTGTCGGTGTAATTTTTCACTGCACCTATATGGAAAAAAATTCAAAAAATCAGAAGGGTCCATTTTTTCTGAAAATCCACTAGTTTTTGAAAAACACGCAATAACTCGGCTCCACATGGTTCTGAAAGTTTCGGAAAGTATTTTTCAGAATAAAAAAAAATTATTTTTAAAAAGTACAGGTTAAAGCTTTAATGTTTGCTGTTTTCAAGTTAATTAACAAGCAGGGAAATCTTAGTATGTCATCTCTGATGCTCTCACCCTCACCTCAAATCATGAGTTGATTATTCCTTTTCAATTGTGCGAATAAGTGATTTTAAGTCATGACGAATTACCAGAGCGACTAAAACTAATCTAGCTCGAAAAGAGCAGATTGAATAGAATAAGCGCAGTGAATTCTGAGAAAAAAAATCGTGGTCTCAGAAGAAGAATACCAACCATTTATTTATTTCATCCTTTATTTCTTTATTTTTGGAATTATTCCTACAGTTCAGGTGTTTTCAATCAGTAACATCTTCTAAATAAAGTACTTTATCTGAATAACAACAAATTCTGTGGTCTTCCACATCTACTGCATATATGCCATAAAATAAAATCTTTATTTCTTTATTTTACCTTTATTTTTTAATAGTAAATGATCCATTTATCTTTATTTTATAAAAATAAATTTTTTTCCATTTATTTATCTTTATTATTTAGATACAAATGACGAACTTATTTTTATCCATTATTATAAATGAACTATAAAACTAAACTAACACTCCTACTTCAGACCATCTCTTTTTATGTCACAAGTGTCCTGTAGTTGGTTTGCGTATGTACCTGAGTACGATTCAGTCATATATATTGATAAGAGCAAATCAGTGTACACAGTATCATAAAACACATATTACTATTTTCACAAGCTTGGTAAAAAGATTGTTTCTTGGATCCAAGTACTTTCGCTAGGGCATCGTTTTCAGCCTTTTTCGCCTATATTTATTCTGTTCTCTCCGTCATAGATGACAACCTCATCCAACCTAATGTGACATTCATCCGTAGATATACTGTGTTTAGCTAATTCAGAATTTCAACTAGGAAACAAATGACTATGTTAGAAGAGAAGGTCAACATCAGCCGTATGTTGAACGAGCATTGCGAGGAGGTGCTTGTGACGGTGTATAAAACACCGAAACATTTGGATTGAATAAATAAACTACGAGTTAGAGTAAAAAATGACTTCAAATGGCACAAAGAAAATACTATGCCGACAATCTCATTGCTGCAATACAACGGAACATCCCTAGCGATCAACACGAGGACGAATTCGCTGCCGAAAGGGTCAGATATTTCGATCAACTGTTTCTCACCTGCATCAATGAGATGAGACTTTTTCTAGAAAAAAATAACGGAATTCTGTCTAACTATCTGTCGGCATACGCTATGGCCTGAGTCAAAACTTTGAACGGGAATATTCAGAAAAAACCTGAATGATTCAAAATTAGACTCACTGTTACGAAGAAATTGCACCGTCGAGGTTCTTTTTCGCATTCCGGATGATCTCGATGAGCAGAAATAGCCCAGGCAAACATTTTTTGTAAGTTAGCGCACCTATAAACGCGTTAGTTGACACATCTGACGTATTTTGACGCGTTTTAGCAGCCACTAAACGCGTTTGAACGTGTTAGTTAAAGAAAAACGCGTCCAACTGTGGCAAAATTTCACGTAGAATAACAAATTTCATAGGCATGTTTATGGTGTAATCTGTCCGACCTTTCCATTCGGAGAGAACGTAATTTTGGTGGATATCTCTAAATTGCTGGTGAGCAGTGAAGAAAGTTGATTGATAGCTATCATTGGGATATTCTTCATTAATGCTGATATTTCGTGCGAATCGAATTTTGTCAATGGTAAAACCGATATTGATCTTTGAATGCGAAAAGTGCCTTTGTGCTATTTCTTCAATATGAAATATCCCTACCAATTTCTACTTGATCCGCTTCGACATCACAGACGTTTTCTCCTTACGCTTCACATTGTTGATTGTAAGATAAAATTTTACGATGGATGTGTCTCGATTCCGTCAGTACCCTGGCGAAGAGGTCTGGATTGCGGGAAGGTGACAGCCTTTTTTCGCCTGAGTTGGAATTCCTCGGAAGTAGTCAAAAAAGTTTCGATCTGAGAAGGAAAGAGAAATTTCTCGCAAAGGGAGGAGGGGTGACTCTTTCTCCGCCGCTCGCGATAACTCTGAATACTGTTTGTCTTTGACGCTGAAAAAAATACCTGTTCTCTTTCTCTGAAAACAAATGAAAAAACGTTGCATAAAACAGTATAAACTTCTTTTAAAGTGTTGACAGAGAGAAGATTACGAAAGCACACGTGTCGGTGGTGTTTGTTGTTACAAAGAACACAGTTTTGGCTAAGTTTCTTATCGTGTGGTGTGCACAAGTTGTTTTTATTGCCTCACATAATTGTTACATCGACCAATTGACTAACAACCATGGGTGGCAACGAGTCAAAAACCAAGGTTCAAGAGTTAGAGCGACAACAAGAATTACTTATGAAACAGAATGCCGAAATGGTAAAAAACTTTGCTCGACAAGAGCAGGCGAATAAAAAGCAACACGAAGCCACCGTCGAGCAAATGGCCAAACTTTTGTTTGTACTGATGCAGTCGAAGAATAATGAAACCCCGAATCACAACGAAAGACAACAGGTCGAAATCGAAAATGTCTCCTATGAGATCATGCAATTCGTCAACCGAGGTGGGTTCGGTGAGATCTACAAGGCTCGAGCTAGTAAGAGCAAGCGTACCGTAGCCATCAAAATTATGCAAAATACCCCGGCGATTCAAGAAGAGATTAAGAACGAAATCAGCTTCTTGCGTTTGACAAAAGCCATATCACTGAACAATCCTCCAGTTATCGACTTTTATGGTTGTAAAATCACCAAGGAAAACATTTTTATCGCCATGGAGCTAGCTCAATGTGATCTCCTGACCTTCTGGATCAATCAAGCGGCTAGGGCAGAGCCGCAGGAAAAATTTCTTTTCGGTATGATTACTATCGTCTACGTCCTGCGTGCATTAACCTTCCTCGAAAAACTAAATATTATTCATGGAGATATCAAACCACAAAATCTTGTTATTATCTCAGGCAATCAATGTTTTTATATTAAATTAATCGATTTTGGTACAGTGGAAAAGATGGACACTAGACGTGCTCAAGTTACAGTCAATGCAACTAAAGCTCACACAGTATTCTTCGCTTCACCAGAATTTCTGCGACGTGATTCAAACAATGTCATGTCACGTCATCTGCACAAAAAATCGGATGCTTGGGCAGCTGGTGTCATGTTTTACATTTTATTCTTCGAAACATTACCTTGGAAAGACCAGTCTGAATATGAAAATTTCTGTAATGATCCACGGGCCAGAGATGTAGTCGTGCCTCAGGCAGGTGGCTACAAGCTGATCATTGAACTTTTGCTAAAAAAGAATCCGGCAGAGCGCTCGAGCGCCAAGGCAACACTTATGCAGATGAAAGCTCATCCAGCGCTCGGTGTGATTATTGAATCACTGCAGCAAAGCTTCTGTCCGATCGACGACGTGTGCCGTATGCGAGTACCCGACGATGTTCGACAGGAGTTAGGTAAGAAAAATATACCAGTGAGTAAGCGTAAGCATATCTATTGGAGTTTTATGTTGACTATATTTGTGCTATGAAGACAACTTTTCTACAGAGCCATCACAAGGCACAGAAAATCACGGGATGGTACTAATCAATTAATTGCGTATCGCCGCGTTTGCATTGCGACATGCGTTCAACGCAATCAAAAAAATATATTTTTTTGAAGAGATTGTTTCCCTACGAGACCAAACAAGTTCTTCGATTGAGTACAATCTTGAAAACTAGAAAGTGTCTTAAAATCTTTCCATTTAACTGATGAGAACGATCTGCAAAATAGTCTTTCAAGAAAGATCAATCTAAAAAGGTAATCGAGATTCTATAACAGAAAGCCTCTGACATCTATCAAAAACTGGCGACACAGTCATCAATTCGTTTCGTCCTGTAACAGCCGTTACTTTTGGAACGTTGCGAAATAACTTGCTGCAAATAATTTCAATTCGATTTGTATGTCGGTGGAACAAAAAAGTGATCTTGTGGAAGATCTTTAATCAAGGTCTTGTATTATTCTAAAGTACTTCTGTATTTTAGTCAGAATCTAGTGGATAAAAATTGCATAGTAAGCTCGTGGTCTACTTTTGTTGTGCTCTTGACCAAAGGTCTTACCTTAGTTAGCTGCAGCTTTTCACTGCTAGGCTTCCACGTAATCCCGTTGTTACCTGCAGAACGTTCTCTGGAATATAGATGTAAAGGAAATAAGAAATATTTTATATTTTCTTGATATATTATTTATAAACGGTGACTGACGGGGACCAGTCGTGGCTGAAAACACTTGGTTATACAGCTCCTTAGTTCGCTCTACCATTCCACTGTCTCTATTCCCAAAATTTAAAAACAGAAGGACCATACAGTCCGCTGGGACTTCTCGTATCCGTTGGAAAAAAGCTCGCCATATATCACTTTTGGTTAGCTGAGGGGATCAGTCATAATAGCATACGATTTATTTATTTTCAGCTAAACTCGCCAGACCTGGCCATTACGCTCGTGGATCCCGTTCAACTTGTAAGTCTTGGATGCGTACTGATCAATCACTTTCTAAAATACTATGTCACTGTGAGAAAGGAAAAACAATCGGATTTTCAAGAAGTTTGAAAAGTTTTCAAATAAGTAAAGATAGAAGTTTTGTTCGAGTTCATGTAAAGAAATGAAAAATATTTTCGAAACACACCTCTCATCAGAGCGATACAACGGACTAGCGATTCAGTTGCATATGCATTTTGTTTTATTCCTATTGACAGCGGGAGTACGCCGTTCGTGTAGATATGGCAGAGACTGCTACAGGTTCGTATCAAAAATATTATCATGAAATATGGATCATACTCTATTTCTTCTCTTGAAGAAAAGACTCTGATCATCGCGAAGAGTTCGCACATCCCGGCGACTTGGGCTACCATGCTTCGGGAAGCTCATCGAATGAAAAACGGAAATGCCGCTACGGATCAGATTGCTATAGGTATGTTATCTTGCGGGAACTTCACAAAAACACGTGAGCACTTGATAATACTTGTCAACATGAAAAAATTATTTCATGAATCATACCGTATTATGTTTCTTAAAGGACTGATCCTGATCATCGCCAAAAATATGAGCATCCAGGTGATTCGAGCCATGGTCAGCTGGAAAAGCAGAAATGTCGCTACGGAGCTACCTGCTATAAGTATGTTTTATTTCACATTAAATTATCGTCATTGCCCTCATAACTAGATGGCATATAGGCAAAGACCATAAGGCGAAGCATTTTCGACACTCGAGTGTAGCGCTGACACTTAGACTCGATCTCAAGAACACTCATTCTTTCTTGTAATATATGCTTGTGCCACTGGCACCTCTCCCTGTTTCTGTTATTTCGAAAAAACAGAATGGACAACTTCAGTGCAAAAGAATTGTAACTACTGAATTGATTCTTTTGAAAAAAGAACTGTCTGTGGAAGTCATCTGGGTTGAGGTCTAGCTCCATTATAAACTGAGTTTTCATTCCGAGGTCTCTACCAGAAAAAATAGAAGTATACAACGAAATTACACGTCAAACCAGATCATTTTTAGATACAGTTCTTTTTTTGAGAAGAACTAGAGCCTACTCCAGATGAAATGAACGTCCTCTCGATAATTTAAAAACATTTACAGCATCTCAATGCATGAAGTTTTTGCACAGACTTCTGGTGATTCTTCAGTCTCTAGATCAACGCATCACAACGTACAGAGGTGGTTGCATTTGTCGAGAAGGAAAACACGCGCAATCGACTGCTGTACAGATGCTTCGCATCGCATAACAGTCGTTTTGAAACTAGGTTTAAAGCATGGTGATAACTGTTAATACTTCTTGTCTACAAGAAATAAGGTTTAATTCATGGAATATTTGTTCGTACCGGTGTTTCGTTTCTTCAAGTACCAACCCCGATCATCGCAAACAGTATATACATCCCGGTAAATCGGGCCACGGTTGTTCTGAAAAGCAGCAATGTCGCTTCGGAGAAGACTGCAACAAGTATGTTCAATTTTTGTTGAACTATTATCATTGCCTTCATCAAAATGAATGTTTAGGACAAACGATCAAGAACATCTGGCGAAATTTCGACACTACTGAACTTGCCTAAGGAAGATATTCTTTGGCTTTGTAAAAATTCCTTCAATGTAACTGATACAAAATAAAATTCAACGGAACTCTCTCAAGGTGCAATACCTTACTCACGCATCATCTGAGTTACTGATAAGTGACCATTAGCATCTCTACCACTGTTTACGATCACTTTTGCTGTGCTCCACTGCTTGTAACCTCTAACGAAGAGGCCAACAGAAGAACAATACTACATTGACCTTGATCTGCCATATAAGTAAAAGCAAGGTCACTCTATGATTATCTGTTCACCTTATATCCCACCATTACACAGTGAAACGTAAAGATGCCATCAACTATGCTCTCACCAAGTGCTTTGAGAGCAATCAGGTCCCTGCAGAATAAAGACGAAGAACTTAAGAAGAACAAAGACGTGGTGCGCGTTCGGCCACGAGAACAAGTAGAGCCAGAGCTCTTGCAAAGTATCTGAACAAAAATATGAAGCAACGCTCTAATGATTTTCTAGGCTACCAACCACTTCCAACCATATGTTGAGGGAGTTCCTGTCCGCTCCGACTGCGAAGCATTTCAGCGGTTAAAAAACTCCAACGACTCTACAGCATGCTTAGTCCGCTGGGCCTTGAGACTCGATGCTTTCGATCTCACCATCGAACATCGCTCTGGTAAAACTAATGAAAATGCTGACGCGCTATCCCGGTATCCCAATTCCCATCATGAAATCAATCTTCCAGATTCCGCCATCACTCTCTGGGAAGGCTGTAGTCTGCTCAACGATATTCAAGTACGCCAACGGGAGGGCCCTACTTAGATTTACTTATTGAATATTTGACTAATCATATATTGTCCCAGGGTAATCTTCCTTATAAGCGTTTCATCAAAGAAGTCTCTCAGTATCGAATAATTATAACGGCCTCTTCTATAAAAGTTGTAAACAATCTCTCTCTGTCTTCGAATCTCGATCACTCACTGGGCATCACCTACTGGTTATTTCCAAGTTCCTCCAACATTTTCGAAACTTTTAGCTGATTTTCATTTTTTGTCGAATTTTCGTGTTGAAAAACGATCGAGATTTTCACCAAAAAATGAAAATCAGCTAAAAGTTTCGAAATACACATCATTCGACTCAATTTTTGATCCTGATTCCGGATATGATGTTTTTATTGCTT